AGTGCACGGAACACTGTTACCTGCCCACCGAAGTGGGCAGGTAACAGTGTTCCGTGCACTTCGGTGTTTAGTCATGCCGGCCACATGACCACAGAGACTGTCTGCGGACAAACGCTGGCTCCCTTGGCTAGGAAACGGAGATGAGCACCACCCCCTAGAGTCAGGCATGACTGGACTTCACGTCAAGGGGAAACCTTTACCTTTACCTTTTTATTCACGAAAAGTCAAAGTGCTCAAAATTATCCTACTATCCTCTTGATAACACTAACCACATCTCAGAAAAATTAAGATTCTATTTCATTTTGCAAACACTACATATTTCCCTTGTTTAATAGTAACTGCTATTTAATTGGTTTCAGAGGGATCCATACTAATCATGAAAGTCACCATACTGAAAGATACAATAACACCAGTCCTGTACCACACTGGCTATCTTTTAAAATCAGGCCCAATTTAAGGTGCTAAAAGCAGGTTGCTTACCTGTAACTGATGTTCTTCGAGTGGCCATCTGTGCAGTCACACATGTGGGTACTGCGCCTGCACAGTGCCTGTGGCCAGAAGATGGATAGCTAATGGTTTTGGCGGGAAAAACTCCGCTCCCCTCCCCCCTAGCAGTATATATGGAGTGAAGTGTCCGCCATTTTCCAGTCTTTGATAGACCGGACGTTCGCTCTCTAGAGAAAAAAATGGAACTAATGAAAAAGATGTTGGTATCGCCAACAAGTTCGAAAAATGCTGTATAGGTACCGAGGACAAGAATAACATGGTACCAAAAAAACACCACCACCCAATGACACCGAGCAGGGCTGGTGGGTGGGTTGTGTGACTGCACAGATGGCCACTCGAAGAACATCAGTTACAGGTAAGCAACCTGCTTTTCTTCGTCGTGGCCTCTGTGCATCACACATGTGGGTAGATTAACAAGCTTACCCTGAATGGAGGAGGGCAGTGTCATCAACGAAGAATAGATGAAAGAACGGCTCAAGGAACAGTCCTGCCTGGCACAAACATCCAGTCAATAATGCTTTGCGAATGTGCATGGGGTGGCCCATGTAGCAGCTCTGCAAACAGAGTCAATCGGAACTCCAGACACGAAGGTGGAAGAAGCAGCCACAGCTCTAGTAGAATGACCCTTCGGGATCATTGGTAAGTCCAACTTAGCTAACTGATAAGAGAGAATAATGGTTTGTACTATCCACTTAGAAAGTCTCTGAGGGGTGACTGGAGAACCCTGATTGCATTCAGAATATTTCACAAACAGCTTGTTGGAGTGCTGAATAGACTCAGTCCTTGATCTATAGAAGGCAAGGCAACGTCGTACATCAAGGGTGTGTATTGACCTCTCAATCGGATTCGATGGAGATGGAAAGAAGGCAGGTAAAACGATTTCCTGGTCCATGTGGAAGGAGGTAGCCACTTTGGGAAGAAAGGCTTGATCCATTTGCAGAACTACCTTCTCCTTATGGAAGTTCAAATATGGAGGGTCCACCCTAAGGGCACAGAGCTCACTAGCTCTCCGTGCTGATATAACTGCTACAAGAAATGCAATTTTCCAAGAGACGAGACGGAGATCAATTGTTGCCAAAGGTTTGAAAGGAGGTCTTGTTAGTGCTTGTAACACCACTGAAAGACTCCAAGTGGGCATAAGCGGTCTGACTGCCGGATGAAGGCTATGTAGCCCCTTAAGGAATCTCTTTATTAGCGGTTGAGAGAAAATGGGGGAGCCTTGGATAGCACCCCGGTAATAGGAAATAGCTGCTGTGTACACTTTTATGGAGAATGGCTTAAGTCCAGACTGGTGGAGTTAAACAGGAACTGGAGAATATGATCTATGGATGCCGATTGCAGGAGAAACGATCGTGATTCAGCAAAGATAAAGAATCTATGCCACTTGGCCACGTATGACTTCCAGGTGGACGGCCTCAGTGCAGAATCGAGAATGTGTTGGATGGCTGGATGAAGAACTGTCGGAGCCGAGGAAACTGCCAACGGAAACGAAGACGTGGGGAAGGCAGGCGGGTGCGAATCATAGCATAGATGAAGCTGAAGGTATTCTGCTCGAGAGATGTGAAGCAGTGTCGAAAACCATGCTTGGCGTGGCCACCATGGGGTTATCAATATTCCTGTGGCCGCGTCGTGGATTATCTTCGAAATCACTCTCATAATGAGGGCGATCGGGGGGAAAGCGTAAAAGTGAACGTTGTTGAAAAGTTGGAGGGGCTGAAGCCGAAGCCTGGGATAAGGGACGACCGCAACGGATGCAGCCATATGCCCTAACAGCCTTTGGACAGAGCGTGCAGGAACAATTTTGTCTCTTCGAATTCAACGGATATGTCGAGCGAGGGTGCGTTGTCTGTCCTGGGGGAGGAATGCCTTCATTACCATAGAATCCAGATGAGCTCCGATGAAATGGATCACCTGTGCAGGAACAAGAGAGGATTTCTTGCGGTTAATACAAAGTCCAAGATCTCGTAGCAGAGAGCAGGCAGAACACAGTGCTTCTCTGCTTTGAGAAACCAACAACCAGTCATCAAGGTAGGGGGATATCTGGACCCCACGAAGTCGTGGGTGCGCACAGACAGGGGCCATACACTTCGTAAAAACCCTCAGGGAAGTGGCCAGTCCAAACGGAAGCACTGTGAATTCGTAGATTTCAGGCGCAACAGCAAAACGGAGGAAACGCCTATGACACGGATGGATCGAAATATGAAAATAGGCGTCCCTCAAGTCCAGTGAGGCGAACCAATCCTCCCTCCTCAGCAGCGCTAAGATATTTTGAAGAGTGGTCATCCGAAATTTCTTTGAGGTTATGAATTTGTTAATATCTCTTAGGTCCAGTATTGGTCGGAGACCCCTATCTCGTTTCGGGACCGTAAAATATCTGGAATAGAATCCGTGGAGTTCGTGGAGATAAGCAAAGAATGGCTCCCTTGGAAAGGAGTTGGCGAACCTCTTCCAGCAACACTGGTGAGCTGGGAGTAAACCAGATGGGACTCGATGGAGGAATAACGTCAAATTCTATTCGATATCCGTGCTGAATGATGGATAACACCCAACGATCAGATGTAATGGACTCCCAAATGGAAAGCCGACTTTTCAGTCGGTCCCCGAATGAGAGGGGGAAGGGTGAGGTTGGGAGGAGAGGAAGGGTTCGCCCGCCCCATCAGTGCTGGCGTTTATCCCCGTCAAAGCAACGACGGCTTTGCTAGAAGCACTGGGACGGTTGCTGCCTACGAAGTTGTTGGCGTTGATGTGGTTGTTGTCGAGGCTGGTATTGTTGGTGGTATTGTGGACGGGTCCATGACCACTTACATCGAGGCTGGGACTGTAGTTCCATACGACAGGCCGTCATCCTCGATTTGTGGATTTTCTTTAATTTGCTGTCGGTCTTCGCATTGAAGAGACCAAACCCGTCAAAGGGCATCTCTCGATTCTCCGCTTCATTCTTCTGGAAAGTTGCAATTACGCAACCAGGCATGCCTGAGGAGAGAAATGGCACCGACGAGACCTCGAGTCCGTATCCACATGGTACCTGGCTGTAGAGAGCTACTGCACCACCATTGCATAGTCTCTTTTACCAAAACCCTTGCCAACTCGCCTTGATTGTCTGGGAAGGCGGCAATGATGTTGTCTAGGCGCTGCATGAGAAAGTACTGATAGCGTGCCAAAGTCGCCTCGTAATGTGAGATTCATAAGCTGAGCCCAGAGGTCGCATAAACCCGGCGTGCGAGGGAGTCGACTTTTCTTCCCTCCTTATCACGAGGCGTGGTGTGTCCCCGTGCCTCCTGGCCCTGAGAAGACTCTACCACGACTGAGTTCGGCTTGGGGTGGCGGAGAAGGAATGGAATGTCCCCCTCCCGAACCCGGTACATGGCTTTATATCTTTGTGAAGTCGGTTGTGGATGTGCCAGGAGGTCCCACTGTTGGGTCATCACCTGTCGTAGAGTTGTTATAAATGGCAGGGCGATGGAAGTGGATTGCTCGCCCCTGACCACATCGTAAAAGCGGTCGGTACTGGGTTCCGGTTGTTGGTGGGCTTCAATCTCAAGTGACTTCACCAGCCTGGACATCAGTTTGGCGAAAGAGATGTGTGGCTCTTCAGGCGATCCAGGGCCTTGCGAAGTAACCGCGGCATCTGGTGAAGTTGAGTCAACCTCGGACTCATCCAAGTCCATCCAATAGGGAGGTGGGACACTAGAGGAAGAATCTCCTGGTGACTCCGATCTGCCGCTCTCTCTAGATGGTGCCCTCGGGGTGTCTCTCGGTGTGGAGTGAAAATGATCCCGAGGAGCTGGTGGAGAAAATCGGCCTCTGGGTACCGGGTAGTAGCCAACAGAGTGGTATTCTTCCTGTCTCGGAACGGAGTAGGATCGGTACTGGTACCAGTCATTGGACAGGGCATCTGAAGAACGACTCCTGCGGCTTCTCGAAGAGACATGCCAGTGTCGGTATCCAGAGGAACAGGCGGCATAGGTGTTGGAGACCGAGCCCTCGGTGGCGAATCTCTTATTTTGCCATCCGCAATCGAGCCGCACTGTGGATCCTGGAGGAATTCAGATCCCGTCCGGCGTGGGGAGCCTGGCGGAGTGACCCTCACAGCTGCCTGGATGGCCGGGACCAAGGAGGTCAGTACCGTGACCAGAGTCGGGATGGAAGAGGCCACCGAACCTAAGTGCTAATGCTTAGAATGCTCGGGGTTCCTCGGTTTTTTAATCGGCTTTCCGGTTTTATCCTTTCTGGCCTTCTTGTGCACAAGCAACTTTCTGGGTCGCTGTGCTTCCTCTTTTCCTTTTGTTTCCTTGGTAGGGAAACAGGCTGATTGCCCATGCTAGGAGCACCTTCGTCGGAAGGGCACGAGGGCAGAGCAGTGGAGGAAGAGGCCGGGCATTGCGGCGGATCGGCCGAAGTTGGACGGCCTTCGGGTGGAGCCAAAGTTGTGGGAGGCTTAGCCACCAGCCGGTCCAAATGGAGGAGAGCCTGGTCCCACAGGAGTTTGCAGAGGCGATTCGCCCAATTCTTCCTCGCCTGTTTGGAGAAGGCCAAACAGTGGCCGCATTTATCTGTCCTGTGCCCTTCCCCCAGGCAAAGGAGGCACAGGTCATGCAGGTCCGCAGTGGGCATTTTAGAGCCACACTTGCGGAACGCCGCCCATTGCGCCATCGCAGAAGTAGAAAAGAAGAAGACAGTATAGAGGGAGTAGATAATATTTTGGGGGGTTTTTTGTTTGTTTTTTAGGAACAAGAAAGAGAAAAAACGAAGAAACTAAGTGAAATACTAACAAGTAATACGAACGAGGGGATATTAACTTGGTAAGAGAAAAGGAGAAAATTCAACAAGTGAGAGGAGGTAAGTAACGATCTAAGCGAGAGCGAAGCGGCACGAGGCACAACGAACGGCGGTCGCAAAGACTGGAAAATGGCAGACACTCCGCTCCATATATACTGCTAGTGGGGAGGGGAGTGGAGTTTTTCCTGCCAAAACTATTAGCTATCAATCTTCCGGCCACAGGCACTGCGCAGGCGCAGTACCCACATGTGTGATGCACAGAGGCCACGACGAAGAACAATGACATATAAAACCCTAAACGCTTTAGGGCCTGGGTATCTGAAGGAGCATCTCCTTCTGTGTACACCTGACTGACCCCTAAGATCTTTATCTGAGGTCCTTCTTTGGGAGTCCTCTTGAAAGGAGATTAGATGAGTGGCTACCCAGAGAAGGGCCATTTTTGAGGAGGTGCACCTCTCTGGAACCTGTTCTCCAAAGATACATATACATCTGGCATTGCTGCTTTATTCATTTTGGCACCATGCCAAAAACCTTTTCCTTTTCTGTATTTTAATGATTATTTGTTGTTTTAATTTTGGTGTTATAAGAAGTTTACATTCTACTTTTATGTGTTGCCACTGTATTGTATTGCCATCCTGAGACTTTTGTACAGGACAGGATAGAAATGCCTTAAATAATAAACAAACTAAGTCACTCACTCACTCACTCACTCTTTGGGGTCTGCAGATGAAGTTCACTTCAGTACCTTATTAGCTATTAACAGGTAGGGAAATAACTGTGTCTACTCTCCACAAAAGACCAAAGAATGTGAATGATTCATGCCCTCAAAATAGTGGGGAATTTCAAATTTGAAGGTGTCGGTTTACTAACCTGAATAGAAGTCATGACTCCATTTGCCAAGACAGAAAGCTTTCCAGCAACTGACCTCACTCCTTGTTTAAACTGAGTCATATCTGGAGCAGTTGGCAAAACATTCGAAATATTGTAGCTGCCTGAGAAGGGACAGATTAAGTTACAAACATCTTCCAACTATTTATACACCAGAATGATGTGGAAAGACACTTCCTGAATTCCACAAATTACCTGTTCCACTACCTAAAAATTTCCTTGTGCACAGAAAGCTAGGAAAGGATCTTTCTGGCTGACATTCTAGTTTGCTACAAGCAGGGATATTTGTTCATATTTGTGGAAATATCCAAATGTGTGAACAAGCAGCACAGCCTGGAACTATTTCTTCACAACAGTGAATAATTCATTGATAGATGTGGTGATGGCCACCTTATCAAATCTAACAAATTAAAGGAAGAGAGGTCTATCAAAAATGAAACCTCTCAGTGTTGAAAGGCAATCTATCTCTGCATAGCAATTTCTGAATGGCAAATAATAAAATAAAATAATAAAATATCCAGGAGGAGGAACCAAAAGTTTCCTATTAAAAGAAGTTAAAGAACCAGAATAGTATGACTTGGTAAGCAACATGACTTTAAATTCATCCCAGTCCAGATAAGTTACAGATAAAAGTCTAGTAACTTTTTCAGTTACATGTACTGAAGAATCTTTTAAGATTAGTGTGATCCAGTTACTAATCCCTCAGCTTGGCCATCTGAGTGGGATAGTGTAACTTGGTGTCCTGCAACAGCAGGAGGGTTGGACCCAATGGCCTTCATGGCCCCTTCCAATCTACTATTCTATGATTGTATTACCACTTCCCTTGACCCAAATCAAGCTCTAAGATCTAAAGTACAGTAACTTGTTGTAAGCTGCCCACAGAGCTTTGGCTATGGGAGGTATAGAAATAAAAGCTGTAAGCGCCTGATTTTACACAAACAATGAGATTTTGAATAGAACTCAAACAAACTGGAAGAAAGATTGATGACAGAGACTTCCAAGATCAGAAGATCAAGTCTTTAGCCTCCAGAACTTTAAACAAACTGCCTAAGAACTTTCTGGTCTTCGTTTCTTTGGGTTCTCAATATTCCCCCTTTGTTTTGATAGTGGTGTGTGTCTTTAACCTATTTCTGCTTCTAGGAATTGGGACCCTTCCCAGAAGCATACAGTGGCATGGCAAGAGCACCTGCCCAAGGCACCATCTCAGCAGGACCATGAAATGGGTCTCAGCACAGATTGCAATGCCTGATCCTAAACAGGTGTGTTTGGAACTACATTTTACCAAGGCATAGTTCCCAAGAAACTTAGGAGTACAGTCAGTGTCCTATCAACAACAACTTCAGCAGAAAGTTGAGCAGGGCATTTTACACAATTCAAAATGTTCAGGAGCTCAGCATCTTTATCCTCCCACTATACCTGATGGCTGTTTCTTCTGCTCTTCAAACAAATCAGCTGAGCTTATAGCAGAGTTTCCAGAAAGTCTCTCTAACCGAACTCTGGCTTCATACTACGAAAGATTGATGAAGATATTAATAATAATGTATTTACTTCACTCCCACATTTATCTGAGAGGATCCTCACTGTTGCAATAAAACTGACTTATCTGGCCATTATTTCTCACCAGATGCCTTAGTCAAAAACTGTTTATTAATTCCAATTCCCAATTCACTTTCTAGTGCAGGCACTTGCACTACAAAACTTTCAATGCACTAAAGCACATACTTCATGGCAGCTTTCTCCAGCATTTCTGGACATGTGCACACATCTGAGAAGCTGTTGTGGGCACCACCACAAAATATTCCCACAGGTTATGTGGCTAGCCATATAATGGGTGCTGTGGCTAATCAGAAATAGAGGGAGGCTGGAGGCTTGCAGGAAAGGGGAAGCAGCCAAGGGCAGAGAGGGGAGCAGGAGACTTGGAGTTTGGAGAGACGCAAGATGAAGGGTAGGGAGGGAGACAGGAAAGCAAGAGGCTGGGCGGGAGCAGGAAGCAACAACACAAATGGGTGGAGAAGGCAACATGCGAGGGGGAGAAACAGTGGGCAAAACAGTGGGACAAATCAAGCATGCAAGAGACTGGAAGGGAGGGGGAAACAGTAAGGAAAAGAGCTCAAGGAAAGTGAAAAAACAGTCTTCATTTCATTTCTAGAAAGGTGGACAAGAAGAATGCCCTATCTTTTTTCAAGGTTCATCTTAAAACTCATTTTTTGAAGAAAGCAGGGAGGGAAGAACTGCACAGTCACCATGGTGTTTGGAATCCCTCCTTCACAGTATCATAATATTTAAAGTAAAGCTTGTCCGTCCACATACCTGTCCAAATCTATCAGGGTATAGATTACATTGAATGATGTTTGGCCCCCTCACTACTACTAAATACAGAAATCCTCACTAGTATAGTAAGATACATGCTAGCAAAGGTGAAAGGAGAAAAGGTGGGATATAAATATAATAAATACAATAATTAGGCAAACAAATATGTTTCCTAACTTCGTTCCCAAGTTGTAAATGTGGAAAGTGATCCATACTGATTTCTCTCCAATTTCATACTGTTTATCTAGCTAGTAGTCGTAACTACTTCCCATAAAAAGCTGTATTTTATCACTTTATATAAAAAGTGATAAAATCATGGCATCTTAACAAGCCAATATAAGATAATCACCAAAGGGGTGATTGCAAATATTGTGTACTGTATTATTTTGTTTACTTACTTCAGCATGATCTTGCTTTCCAAAGTACATATCTGATGAAATAGCTTTTGCATTGCCAAATTTCTTTTGCGCTTCATCTGTACTTGCACAAGGTTCATACTCATGTTTACGACGTGAGGAAGGCCTAAGAATATTGTTTGGACATGGATACATGGTTAGGAAAATACAGTTTATTATCTCTGCATAAATATTATTTCCATATTAATCTACCTGACATCAAATTAACTCTTGGATAACACTGACCACTATCTATATTTTGATTTCTTCTTAACAATACAAGTAGCAACCATCTGTGCAGAAAACTAATCTCTCTGTCTCTGTCTCTCTCTCTGACTGAACCCAATTCATCATAGCCATGAAAACCATCAGATAGGTTAAAAAAAACCCCTTTGTCAGGCAGATGATAAAAAAGAAACATTTGTGAAAGGTATAGGATGCAGAACTCCACTTTCAGGAGTACCCACAGGCTTGGAGAAGTTTGGAGAAAGTGAAGGACACGGAAAACTAACAGGGCAATATTTAAAAACTGGAAAAAGCATTGCTAAAAGGGAGATATACTTGCCATCTTGTTTCAGGTCAAAAGCTCCTTCAACAATTTGCTCACTACTTCCTACAATCCATGATGGGACTGGGCTCTTGGGTTCAGGTAACACAAAACCCTATTGCGAGTTCAGCAACCCCTAGAACAAGCTACAGGTTTTCAGCACAGCTTGCATTCTGGAGGAAGTGGCCTAAGTTCAGATGTTATGTCAACCACCATGGCTAGTTAGATAAAATGGGCTGCCATACCATTTGTTAACAAGTCAGCTGGTCTCCAAAATTTGGGCCCAGAAGCACATTCTGCACTTTGAAAATTGCCCTGTGTACCACTGTAGGTTGGGACGTAGCCTATTGGAAGTCGTCCCTCCAAGCATTCCCAGGCTTCCTTCTGTGCTTGGCCCATCTTCCAAAGCAGGCCAAACTAATAACAATGAATGCTGACAAACCTGCAGTTGTACAACTGGCAACCTTCTCTGGCATCAGCTACAGCTGTCAGAAAGCAGCTGCAACTGGGGCAGAAGAGAGATGCTGCTTGCAGTTCTTGCAAGACCCTTGTGACCTTTGGCATCACAAGAGCGCTGCTAGCAGTGGAAACGGGCTGCTTTCCTGGCAAGTCCCTCATGGCCAGCCTTCTTCACCACCAGGTGCAACACTCAAATAGCAGCTGCTCCTAGTGCAATACAGGGGTGCACCTTGCACAGCATGTAGGACTTGACTCATGGCAAGTGCCTTGCGAACACTGGGAAAATTCACCAGAAACTTGGACTCTGAGCTGCTGCAAAGCAGACTGGAGTCTAGGAAGCCAAGATGAGGGAATCCAATGGATTCCCATCTCCAGATGGATTCCTCACACATCCCTACAGTACCATAAACTGACCTTTGAAGTGTGGTGGTGGGGGGTGGGGGGGTGAATCACAAAATCATTGGGAACACCCCCAAATGTGCACCCTGTGTGTGTACAACAGCCACTTTGGTCTATTTCTCTCTATAGCCTTTTCTCTCTTCTATAGCTGCACAATCTGACTTCTTTTTCCTCATTCTTTCCCCCGGTTCCTTCCTTCCACATCTCTCTCACAGACTTCTTTCTTTCTGGCACCTCTTTTTTCTCTTTCTCCAACTCCTTTACTTCCCCTTTCTCCTTCTCTAGCATTTCCTTTCTCTCCCTTCCATTTCCCATTTGTGCTGCCCAAGGTACCTTGATGGATTTGGTCCCCATCCAGCCAGTTTTCAGTAGGGGAGTTTTTACTGCCTTACTAAAGCCAATGATGCAACTAGCTTGCAAAAAAAAAAGAGCTCCTCTGCTGGAAAAACAGCTGTAGGGGCTACAAGGACCTTTGAGAAACTTGAAGGAAGAGGATTTGGCTAATTAGTTTGAGGAACTTGAAGGGAGAGGACTTTCAGCATGGCCTTGTGGGCACCATGCACCATATGTGCCCATGCTGGAGTCCTTTATAACCAGTCAAAATTTTACTACACAGACAATTTTATGCTTGAATACTGGAATGTCTTAGAAAAGAATGTGCAAGCTTACTCTCTTTCACAGAGATAAAGTTTAATAGAGTTCAGTCAGCAGACAAAGCAATATGTTTTTTAATGTCAGTGGAACTATTCATATGCATAAGGTTAAATGTTTGGCACAGTCATTTTCTTTACATACCTTTCTGAATAGCCTGCTGTTTTTGATGACAGGATCATATCTGTATCCCTGTTGCTGCTCTCCTTCTTCCAGAACGAATCAGAATTATCATCCCATTTAGGAAAAGTGTTACTTCTCAGCTCTGATGAATCAAAATACCTGGATGGTATTTGGTATACGGATGGGAAACATAAACATTAACAGACTGCAGCTCTAGAGCACATGAACGCAATCTCAGGCTATGTGCTACTCTAGCCTGGGAGCTGTGGTCCACATCGCAGCTACAATGCCATGAATTTTTGTGAGACACCATGTCAGTTGCTGTAGCTCTAGACGGAACCTGAACTGCAACCACAAAGGAATTTGCTAAGAGCACTGCCACATGTGTAATCTTATGCAATCCATCCTGTATCTGTTTAAGACTAGAATCCAGCTTTTTCAGATCTTAAGTCCATATGTAAGCTGTTCTGGCAAAGACAAGTTTGTAACAGTTGCTTGAAAGGCCAGCACTGAGGCCTCACGGTCCTTCTGGAGTACTGCCTCTACAGGTTTATCACATGGGTCACACCTTCTCCAACTGCACACCTAAGTCAAACCTTCCTCAGGTAATTCCTCGTCCCCCATCCACTCAGAATCAGATGGAAGAGCTAAGCTATCTGGAGAAAACTTGGGGAATCCAAGAAACCACTCCAACATGCAGTGCCCTGCGGCTCTTTCAGGCGCAGGTGCCTTGGGGCTGAGAGCAGCTGCTTTTCCTTTTGTGACTGGAGGTCATTGGACCACCTTCCTGCATTTGCCTCCCCACTCAACCTAGAGTCAGATAAGGGGCAGCACACAAAAAAATGCCTCCTGAGAAAACAGGAGGCATAGTGGGAATCAGTGAATGCCCCCTTCCTCTTAAGTGTTATCCACTGACTTCCTTAACTAATCCATTGTTAGGGAGGAAAGAGGCGGGAAGAACCAGAGAAGCCCTATAAAATAAAATAGGCCAGCAACTGATATGGTGAATCCAGGTGCTCTTGCAAATCCAAGTAGTGCTGCCAGTGCACAGGACTGATCTGGGATAGTTCTCTACAGGATCTCTCTCAATAGGAAGCTGCATCCTGCCTATTGATGGGCGATGAGAGGTTAATCCCAAAGGATAAGACTCTTAAATACTCTGTGAGTCCTTGGAAATACTGAGCTGTATGTACCCCTCCACATCTCCTCATGAAGGAGCGCTTACATCCATATGTGCCCGGCCGCCCCCTGAGATCTGCGGGAGAGGCCCTTCTCCAGGAACCCTCCGTGAAAGAAATTAGGAGGGTGGGTACTCGGAGGAGGGCTTTCTCTGCGGCGGCGCCTAAGTTATGGAATGCGCTCCCCAGAGAGGTCCACCTGGCGCCGTCGTTATTTGTTTTTCGGTGCCAGGCGAAGACCTTTTTATTTAAGCGACATTTTAATTGTTAATATTATTGGATTTTATCTGGCCAGGGCAGCTTATTTTATATTGTTATTTTTGTATTTTAATATTAATATTAATATTTTTAATTTAATGTTATTTATTTTTAACTAATTGTTGTATGCCGCCCCATTCGCCGAAGGCTCGGGGCGGCTTAAAAATGTTTTAATAAATAAATAAAGCAGCATCAGACATCACTCCAGAGGACAACTTTTCAAGCAGTGCATTTTTCAGAAAGTAGAGAGGGCTGCAGAAAGCAAAACAACCTCCTGAGTGAATGGAGCTCTAGCCACCATTATTTGGACTCAAGCCACTATCTTCAGAATTTAAAAAATGATTAGAGGATATTTATAGACACAGATGATAAGCAAGAGCCTCTCCAGATATTAGTAACACTTTTCTTTCCTAATGTTTCCAATTTGCATAATGAAGTCCATTCTCCTTATCTCCTAAATTATCAGTATGTTGCATGTATTAAAAATTCTGTAAGAGTGAATTACAAGCAAATTTCATCCCTCTGCTGCTGTTCTGAAAGAAATTTCAAACACCCGCTGTTTGCCCACTGCAATCCCAATTCTGCTCTCTACCCCGCTATAGCCCCAGAGTAGTTACTATTAAAAATGTTATTCATTTTAGATTTGTCAGCCACCCAGAGTCCTTTGGGTGATGGGATGGTATATAAGCATAATAAATAAATAACATTTTACCATTCAGTAAAATATATAATCCAACCAGAATAACACTTTCTCCCTTCTGTCCTTAATGAAACAATTCTTTACCTTGAACTGGATGAAGAAAAATATGAGTCGTCGTCATCACTGTACTTTTTCCTTGGTTTTACAGCTGTAGGTGTTTCTTGCTCTATGATTTGCATATCTGAAGTAATTGAATGGGAAATGCCACTGGAAGAAAATTGGAAAAAACCAAGATATATAACCATATTACCTCATGAGAGAAATAAAAAGCTTATAGAACAATAAAACATTTAAACAAACAAAGCTGACTGATGCATCATCCACAGGAAATGTCTAATTGAAAGTCCAAGACATAAAGGAAGCTTAATTACATAGCTCAAATTTTGTATCTGCTAGGCTATTACCCATGATTTGTAAGGTAATAGAAAGAGCTCTCTCTCACTGGTCTTTAACTGTGATGCCAGGCATCTTGAACAAAACCTAGACAGTCACCAGGGAAGCTGGGCTTCTCTTTGACATGTCTCAAATGATGCCTTGATCGGAACAGAAAGCAAAGAGTTTGTATCATTTCAATACTCTGTGGAGGAAAAAAACCACAACCTTTTAGGTCCCGAAAAGGAACTTGAGGCACGGAGCTAAAACAACACTAATATCTGTGGTACAAGCTTTCCTGAGTCAAAAAAGCATGCAGTCCCCTATGTTTAGAATTTGTTAAAAGAAGGATGTACCTGGGCACAATTCTGTGTGAATTATTTTTATTTCGCAATGCCAAATTCAGTCCCTTCCATTAATAATTTCAGTCAGTCTGTTGCAAACAAATCCTGCTAACAAATATATTGAGGCATGAATTACATGGACTAGGGTCCCTTTTCTTAGACACTGAAGTGCCTGTGAACTAGAGACCATGGTAGCTATACATACTATACAAAATATACTGCAAGTTTTACTCTCTATCCTACTAGCACACAATTTTCTCTCTATCCTACTAGCATACCTGTATTTTCCATTTCCGCACCTGACCCTGGGCCAAGAACAGGATTGAGAACTGCAAAATTGTTCTTTTTTTGCAAGGCCAATAGCAGTAGGGCTTCAGGACATTTGTGCCAATGCAAACTCATCAGGTTTATCATACACATAGTGCAAAACATTTTGAAAAACATATGTAATTATGTTTACATAATTAAAACTATGAATACTAAATCCAACAAAACATGGTCTGGTCCAGAGATGCTCAAGTAGTATCTCTCAAACACCACAAAGGAAATCCCAGTGGAGGTAATCCTCGTGGCCTTGTATCTAATCCACACTAGTCATGAACACACAGATTGGGATAAAGAAAGCCATTTTTGGTGCATTCAAAGACTGGGCCATGCCCCAAAGGATTTTGTTTCGCCTCTCTTTCAGTAGCAGAACCTTGTACCATGCTACCTCTCCAGATTAAAAAGACCACTGCTATTCAGGATGGGGAAGGTTGATGTTTGATAAATGCAGATCTAAAGCTTCCCCGAACCTGCGGAAGTTGTGTGAATCTTGGCCACACTCTTTGCTGATTAATAGCTTGTGACTTGATGCTCACAGAAAGAGGTAAGACTTTCCTCTGCTTTTCATGCTCTTTTGGGGGTGCTGCATACTGCTTTTCTCATAATCAGCCACAAAGGAAAGATTCTTCATGCACATGAGTGTACATGCACATACACCAACAACTGACAAACTTCTGAGTGCTGAATTGACTGCATGTTTGTTACATACAGCTGGAGGATTATACATACCTTCTATTGCTACTAAATCCCATACCAAGCCTTTCTACCTCTGTTTTCTTTTTTCCAGCCACATTTAATTTTTCTTCTTTCATCTGAATTTCAAGATCTCTGTAGGCCAATCGCAAAGATGATACCCTAAAGAAAGAACAACACAGAGTCGAAATATAATGAGTGAAAACAAGCTCTTTTTTTCTGATCCACTGTCAGAACCAGGTGGGGAACAATGCTTTCAGTGTATGTGTAATTTCTTTTTTTAAATGCATGTGCATGTGACACAACCATCAAAGTCCTTTTGCCAGTCCTTAAGTATACAGGAGTCAAGTGCATCAGGAATAAAAGAATACTCCAAGCTAATGTGAAACCAAGTGTTCGTAAAGCTTGTGCTCCTTCAAATATTTTGACCTCAGATTCACCATCACCTAAGGCTGTTGGGAATTGAGACCCCGAAAACATTTTGGCCTACAAGTCATTCACCCCTTAAACTATCAATGAAGCTGCAACATAGAACTAATGTCCAAAAGGACTGGAAAGATCTGCATCTGATGTGAAATGGAAGCTGAAGCACAGGAGACTGGTGCGTATGAGGCTATGATGGAGGAGATTGGCATTATTTTCCCCAGATAAAAGTGAAAGGTACCTGACTCAAGCAAGTGCACTGCTGAATCCAAGTCCAGCTCAGGCACAACTATAAAAACTATTTTGTTGTTACATTCTCACACCACCCCTACCATCCTGGCATGACTGTGAGATCAGAAACTTTCACTTCAAACAGTTGACTGTTCTTTCCAAACCCAATTCTGTGGCTACTCTTTGGTTAGTAGAGACAACCTAGTTTCATAAACTATGCCTTGAAGTTAGGTTGCCTCTCTCATGCATAGTTAGAGTAGTCTGTGCGTAATGCTCAACTATGATTAGACTATGAGACTAAGTGGAATAGTCTAAACTCATTTTCCTAGCCATAACAGAGAAGGGGTTGGAAAGAGAGTCAACTGTGTGTCCAGTCCTCACTAAGGTTCGTTTTTGAAATGATAACCCATGGTTTATCATACACATCTAAACAAGGTCTGTATCTTCACAGTTCATGGGCAACTTATCCAAAGGAACGTTCAGAGAACTCTGACACCTCTAATGTAATGGTTGAGGTAACAACCTACATATCACTCCCAGGAAGCAATGCATTTAGAACTCATCAATCCCTCCAAAAGGAAGGTACAAGAGTCACTCTTTTAGATTTAACATTAGAAGCATTGCAAGGATAACACAAATCCTCTAAGCACTTTTTACTCATCTAGAACATTGTCAATCTAAACTTCTTTGATTTAGTTGATAAAACAAGGTAACAGATAATTTTGAATATGTAATAGCTAAATCATGAATCTCCTAAAGTCATATCACAATGTGTAAATAAAGTACATAGAATGTGTGTATTTTTAAAATAGACAAGAGTGAATCAAAACATTCTTATTTCCATATGTCACAGATAGCTTTGCATTTCCATTTAATTATATCTGTATGTTTAATGAAGTTTTTGCAATGATACAATCTAGAAATGTATGAAAATGTAGAAATCATAGAATGATCTACCAGGGAAGTATCTCAGACCACTAGATACTTCATTAAATGCATAGTCTGCCATGTCATAATGTTAAAAGGCGAAAACAAGCTAATGAAAATCGAAGTGATTGCAGTTAGATGAATGAGCACATATTAATGGGAATAAATACATTGAAGGTGTTTTGTAGTACAAATTCCTATCCTGAAGCCGTGCAAATGTTTTCACTCAGTCAACGTGCTTTTTGATATTTCAGTGACAAAACAAAGACACACTTACTTTTATTTCTCTCTGACAGCATTAACAAAATCAAAAATGTCAGAATAATATGTTCTTTGAAACAAGTTGCAGTTGTAACCTAACCTGAGAAGTGATTTTATAAAATGCAATACTGATATGTAATATTTTAAAGGCATAAATTGGCTATCAGGAAAACCTCCTAAGTGGGCAGCTAGAATTATTACATGACAGAAGAGACTGAAACCATGACAGTCAATCCACTATTTGCAGGTGTACATTTTAAAAAAGGAACTGTGTGTATTCTGTTTATCTGACTGCAGTACCACCCCAAATGCCTGATCTCTCACTGAAAACAATGGAGAAAGAAGAAATTAAGTGAGCAGCAAATAGTGCATTAAAATAAACACAGTATAATCTAGATCATGTGTAGCAATCTCCCCCGATGAAATGCTAGGTTCTGGAACCGTACAACCCAAAAGGACTGTAGTGAAACATCTTTTGGGAAAGCCATAAAAATGCCAGAAACTGTTCTAAAAATAAGTGTATGCTGCCACCTAGTGACTAACTGGATAATTTAAAGGGAGGGCTGATCTCTTTTACAAAAGATCAATGTCTTCCTCATTTTTACAAGAAACCTAACAACTCTGCCAAACGTCCTACACCTAACTATGCTCTAGAGCTTCAGGTTGTTAAGGTCTGCAAGAATAACTAAATGTTTTGCTGAAGGAGCACATGTGGCTTTAATCCCTGGGCTAACAGTCCCAAGAACCATAGAATAGTTCAGATTCGCAATTGCAACATGGAAGAAAGCACTCGGATCTCAGGCCAGTGAGCTAGAAAAGTCCCCACTCCCCTCCACAGCCAGCGTTCAAAGAATTGCTCTGGCTGCCTCTCTGAGGACAGAAATTCAACAAGACAGGCATTTCAGTGGGTGGAGAATGGAGAATGAAAAGATCAGGGATTTATCCTTAGCCTCCTCCAACCTGAAAAACCCATCCAACAAAACCTCAAAAATCAGAGGGTGGAGAGACAAGATTGTTTCTTCTGCCTTCCCAGCTTCAGCCTAGCAGGGCACAGCAATCTCAGAAAACCCCACATTTAGTGGTTTCCAAGCAGCAAGGGTGTATTTGATAGAACTCCACCTTAACTAAAGGGATCTCTCAGCAATGAGAATAAACAGACCAAAACAGAAGGAAACTAGCAATGCAACTCACCACTGCAGCTGTGTTTTCAGTTTTTGGGATGCCTAAACATTTTCAGAACATTTCCAGAAATCTTTTTAATATGGCCATATGCAGTGCTCCTACATTTTATTAATACAATGAGTATGATGTGCCCCTGCAGTGAACTCCACTGAAGACCAAGCAAAACTGGTGGTGCCAAAATGACTGGCTAACCATTAAGCACAATGTAGCAGTCTTCCTTGCTGCCTTCAAACCCTATTCAAATAGCAAGTACTCAAAGAAATACTGCCTCTGAACAAATTTTCTACTCAGCATTACAGTTGACCCCTAATAATAGTTCTATACTTCATAAACTTAGAACTCAGAATTATGGTCATTACCATTTTGCAGCACCAACTTCCCGAAATCATGTATTATGCAAAGTAGCATTCTCTTGTTTGCCAAGAAATCTACTGCTAATCAATTTGGTTTCTAGTATTATCGGTTACACCCAATGTTACATGAGGGAACATTCACTCATGCTGTATAAAATTTTCTCTTCCTCTCTCCTTCTTCCCACTGTAGTCTGCTGCACTCCTGCTCTGCTCCAGAGATCCTCCAACCCTCCAGGTTAGATTTGCAGGAGTACAGGATAGAAGCGGAAACTCCCACCTCCCTCTTCCTGTGACAGAAGGCCATTGCAGACTGAAGTTAATACTCTGCCTACTCTTTCCAAACCATGCATAACTCTTATTTTCATTTTTCTCAAGTAAAAGACCACCAAATTTTTTTAGCATTTTGTCAGAGATAATTTCTTGAAAATTTTTGTTGCCCTAGGTTGTCCTTTCTGATATGCAACAACCAGAACTCCACTTGTAACCAAATAATTTGTTCAATGAATAAACATTTTTTGGTAGGGTAAATAAAGTGATGCTGACATTTTCAAGAAATTATAGTTCCTCTGCTATAATATGTGTATACATAATATACATACCAGAATGCACAAAAATACGGAGTTTTTTTCCTTTACATGTTAAAGAGCACACCAGGAGTATAAGCCAAGTATTTGTTCATGTGATGGCTCAAATCTTCTCTGTCCACTTTGAACAAAAGTGTGGACAGGTTGCTGGTAATCATGACATTGAACCATGAGTAAAGGCAACAGTAAATGGAAAACTCACTAAGGTCAGAGAGGTCAATTGGTAGAATAAACTATACTGTGGTTATTTTTTTTTTTTTTTTTGTAAGGGAGGGTATTTGATGCCTTCTGCTTTGTATTATTAAATCACTTCCAAAATATAAATCATATAAGAAATTCTCTACTTGTTCTCTGCTCTTACTAAAGCCCAAGAAAACCAACCTGTATTTCATACATTTTGGATTAAAAGTAAAACATATACTGTTTTATTTACTATTTTAAATTATTTACTTAAAGAAATATATCAGCATTGTACACTTTCCACAACCCTGCACATAGTCTTCCCTCTTCCCTTCCAGATTATTCCTTGAAAAATCAAACTATTCCAAGTACAGCACTATCTGTTATTGAAGATAGAAAATACTGGTCTCTCAGCTCCAATTAATCTGGATGCTTTCCATTTCAGTCTGCCTTCAGCCCCAGTTTGAAGACAGACTGAAACAACCCCGGTCATCCTAGTGCTCATCTTTTTGCCAGAAAACGCCAGTGGGATTGCACTCCTGTTGGTTCTACATATACTCCCCTTTATGTACCATCTGGCTGAGATAATGGTTTTGAGCCTTTCTGGAGGAATAGTTCCATGAGAAGGTGCTGGGGTAGTCCTGTTCAGTTCCTTGACCTTTAACTTACAGTTGTTCAGGTTTCCATTCCTCTCACTGTTTTGCTGCTTCCTACATGACACTTTTTGGGAGATCATCTGATGATGTTGAATGTTATGTTGAGTGTGTGTCATCAATATTTATTTTATCTATTTAATATTTATGAATAGCTTACATCAAAGAAATGCCTACATGATGTGAAAAAGCAAGGCTTCATACAAAGGGTAAGATTGCCTTTGTATGCCAATACCCTTTACTTGGCACTAGCAACACAGAAGTGTTGGTACCTGCTTACTTTGTAGCAGCAGGGAGTTCCAGACAGCCGCTCCTATGATATAAAAGGCCCTATTTCAAGCTACAATACATTGAAACTCCAAAATCTTGCTTGTCCCCAGATGACCACAGCAACAAGCAGGCTGGTAGGGAATCAGGTATCTTTTAAGTATCCTGGTCCCACGTTGTCCAGGGGAGCTGCAAAGAAGCAGCAAAACCTTAAATCCACCCAGTGAACATTCAGACAGCCTGTGCAATTTCCCCAACACAGGTATAATATGATGGAGATAAGCTGTTCCCATTTCTAACTTGATTATGCCATTCTACACAAACTGCAGCTTCCCAAATAACTTTAAGGGTAGCCCGATGTGAAGCACACTGCAGAAATTTAGTTTTTACGTTACCAATGCATGGAGCAGAGTAGTCAGGTTATCCCCACTTGGATACAACTGGTTCAAGTGCCACAGCCAGTAAAACGCACTCCCATTCACTGACCGACGAAAAGGTATCCCAAGACTAGACACCTCTTCCTTCAGAGAGAGTGCAGCCCCAGTTAGGACAGGCAGCTGCACCCAGACCAGCCTATGGAGCTCCTGTCCTATCAGGATTCAGACTCAGTTTACTGCCTCTTATCATGCGAGCACTGTATCCAGCCCAAGACTTGAGAAGCCTCCCCCGATCCAGATATCTGCACAGCTGGGTGTCAGTTTATAGCTACGACCTTACACCACAGTTCCTAATAATGGCTTCATAATCAGACTAAGCAGCAGTATGATTAAAAAGTGCCCATCAGCTGTATATGGCTTGAACATCAAGAGATCTCTAAGCACTCCCTCCCAGAATTATTGTGCAAGACTGATCTTGTAGAATTGCTCTTTGAGGATGATTCCCCCTCCCCCCCGCTTTCTCTACACTAGATTTCTGCCACACAAATTAGTCTTTTAGTTACCATTCAAAATTTGTTGAAACCTCTTTATGGCTTTATTGGGTGGTTTCTGGTTGCTGCTTATCTCTTCTGCTTTCATGCTTTTATAACAAATATATATTTTACCTGCTACCTTTTGAGAAAAGGCAGAATATACCTTTTTAAAATAAATGGAATAAAATAAATGTGAACTTCTGTCACAAATTATAAAATTAGCTACCCACACCACCTCTTACAGTAATTATCAAAAAAATGGACTAGGATATTCTAAGGGGGTCTGAAGTGGTCCTTGTCACTTGATTAGATGCATCAACTGCCCTAGCCCCTCAAAATAGGGATGTGCTATGCTGCACTGTTATCTCCTTTAAAAAAACCAGTATCAAAGTGGCATTATTCAAATTGAATAATGTTATTCAAATAATAATTATTTGAATAATAATTATCATTCAAATTCAAGGGGATTCTCTGTTCTAGCCTGCATTACAACTGATGGATACAGAAGATTCCCTAAAGCAGCACCAGTGCTCAGTAAACAGACCTATCCTTGAATTCTGGATGGGAAAAAGAGAAGGCAGGAAGCTAGCAGGAAACATTGCCTAAGAATAGCTGCAGAATGGATGCCAGCATGAATGTCTACAGAAAATCCATTTCTTACCATCTCTGCACAGCCTCTTTTTTTGGGAACAACTTGACCTACCACTCAATTTCAATACCATGCTTTGCACAAAAGTAAACTTAGTGTTGTTTTAAAATGTCCCTGGCATCAAAAAGCAACTTCAATTGTCCTGTATATGAACTGATAAGAAAACAATATTTTATAGGCAAAAATGAACTACACTTACAGCGGCTCTTCTTTCTCAGTATTTTTGCTGGAATGTATCTCTTCCTTCATTTTATCTACAGCTTGTGCTTGTTTTTCAATTTCATTAAAACTCTTGCTGCTCATTTTCTGGGCTCCCAAGCCACCTTTCTTGGCTCCAAGCTTTAACAAGAAAGATTTGAGTGGGTTTATATTTACAATATCAACTAAAGATGCAAGGAAAAAGAATAGTGAAAATGAGACAAAATAAAGGAGTCTGCACAGGTGTGTGAAGAGATTAAATATAAGCTGTTTCTGTTTCACGCTAAACAAAATAAAAAGAAAACATCTCCAATTATGGCAAGGGCAAGTAGCATAAGTGAAGTTCAGGTTACACAACCCAGCTAAAACATCCCCAGACAAGCCCCAGTTGAACCAATGATTGGGATAAAAGGCACTGCAAGATACATGCTAAAATAAGTACAGATTGTGCCAATACATCTGCTTTTACACTCAGGTACAAATCGCAACACTCACAGTTGGAACAGACATACTCTCTCACTTGTACAGAAAAACAGATCAAGTATATGATTACGAGAAATGCCTCACCAAAATCTTTATCCCTTCAACCCAACTCAACTGAATGCTACACACAAACAAATGCATGTTTCCATATGCGTACCCTTAAGTGGACTGAGAAGTAAGCATCCATTTTTCAGCGTGACTTTCTAGTCCAAATGAACAGTTGCATTTGTACCCCTCTTTAACACACACACACACACACACACACAGACTGACATGTATACAGCCCTGTTACAGCCTTTTTAGATTAGAGTTTTATTGTTCATTTTGAATGTTTATACTTCTTTAATACCTCACAGTAAAAAACCAATACTAAGTCAAGAATATATCCTAAGGAAACCAATTTATGAGTCATTCAAAGAGACCAGAAAATAAAAAAAGTCTAAGCACCTACCCCCTTTTTTACTTGATTTGGCTTCTTCTTGATCATGGACGAGACCACTACAAACATCAAGACACACTATATTAGGCTACATAGTGTACTATAACAAAAGTAGTTTTCAACATTAATACATTAAGCCCCATTTATTATTTTCAAAATTAAAAAGAGATCTATAAAAGGCAGGCAAATACAATGATCCTAAAATATCAACTTCACAATGACAATATTTCAGAAAACGTGTCTAGCAGTTTTTGAATTGTCAGAGTTGCCAACAGCTAACCAAAGGGGTCAGCTTTTTCCACTGGACATATACTGTGAACACACACTGGGGGAACAACAGGTCCAAACTTGCAGTCCAGCTAATTTACTTCCAAAGTTCATTTCCCTGATTCTGCCAACAGTGACTGGCAGTGGCTCTCCAGGGTTTCAGGTAGGGTTTGCTTAGCCCCACCTGGAGAAGCTGCAAAGTGAACCTGGGATCTTCTGCAGAGAGAGCAAGTGCTCTGCCAGGGAGCGCTGCTTCTCTTCCTATTCAACTTTTGCATGGAGAAAAGGGGAAGATGAGGAATTTCTACTTAAGTTGCATTTGAAGTCCATTATCACTTCATCACATTTTTAGAACAGAACAAGTGGAGCTTTTTGTTTTGCAATTCACATGAGATTTTTAGGTATCAATATTATACACAACTGACCCTTATGAGCAGTTCTTCTACATGTGGATTGACATTATGGATCAAATTCCATATACTGAAGTATTCCGTCAGAAGGAGAAATCCACAAAGCACCTAGGAGAGTCATTGTATTTTGTACAGTACTAGTGTCAGCGCCACAGGCCCAAATAACCTTCTGCAGAGAGAAGACTAAATCCTTCTCTAGTTCAGCAGTTATTCAGCTTTATCAGCACTGAAAGCTCTCACCATCTGTTTGCTAGATAAAAGATCCACATTCAGCTATGTAAGAATCCAGAACAAGGCAACTTTAAAGAAATTAATATGTTAATACCAATTTATTAGAGAAAATGATACAGCTACATGAGGTATTTTAATAAAATATGAAAAAATTAGATTCAAAAATGAAGCTGAGAAAATGTTAAAGCATTTAAAATGGTTTAACAGGTTGTTAGAAAAAGTTTCATTTGCTTAAACTGATATTGCAAACTGACAACACTGTTATATGGCTCTATATTCCACAGATGTACTAAATGTGGAAAACAAAGCAGTGAAACAGGATATCTAAAATGTCCAAGTCACCTTTGCTAGGTGTGGTGCCTGAAGTATTTACATTCTCCGGGTTGGCTAAAATAAGAGATAAAAAACAAAGATACATCACTAACCAAAAAAGATGATGTTTTAAATAAACAGCTGTATTTTTATGAGATAGTAGCTCTTCAAAGACCAACCCTAAGGACCAACTGACACTTTTAACACAGCATGATACTAACTCACAAGAATTTCAGAATGCAGACAGGGAAAATTGTATGTGTAACCACCACAAGTTATAGATACCATGTCTATGGCAAGCTGGCAGTATTCTTGGAGGATGGGTTGCTTTTTTAAATAAAAAAATGCAATCCCCCACTTGCACTCTAACTGGTACAGTCCCAGGAGAGCTGTACCACATCAAATGATAAATACATTAAAGGAATGAGGCCCAGTATCACAGTTCTAGTGAACTGTGTATCATATTCATGCTGAGACTAAGTTCAAGTATTGTGCCTCTACCACACGGTGCAGCCAGCAGATGCTCAAAGGCACAGAGAATCACTTAAGCCAGAAGTTATGGAAGAAAACATGAGTTGGTAAAAAGCACCATCCTAAAAATATGCTAGTTATTGCAAAGACATTCATGTCTGAGAAAGCTATGTGAAACATATGTAAGTAGTAAACAGTTGTAGCAGTGACATAGACCTCACACTCATGCATTTTCCAAGTTACCGTATTTTTCGCTCTGTAAGACGCACCTGATCATAAGACGCACCTAGTTTTTAGAGGAGGAAAACAAGAAAAAAATATTCTGAATCAAATGGTTTACTAAACTATTTAATAAACTGTAACAGAATACAGTAATACCATATTTCAACCTTGTAAAGTGAACAGCAGTCAACAGTGGCATTAAGAACCATCATCACTGTCATTAACAAAAGAGAGACTTTAAAGTTCGAGTACTCTTCTAGTTTTCGTTGAACCCATAGAACTCATCATCGCTAGAGTCAGAATTTATGAAGCTCTGTTGCTCACAATCACTGACATCACTTTCTTTACTATCTTCATATCAGATATCATCTTCGGTTCCATCCAAGGCATTGCTAATTCCACATTTTTTGAATGACTGTACAACAATTTCCTCCTTCACTGAGTGCCATGATGTTTTCACCTATTCACAAACTTGAGTGATAGTGGGCCTCTTCATTCGTCTAGTAGGTGTCAGATCATGATTACCAGCAGCCATCCACTTGTTCCACTCTTCTCACATAAAGACCTTGAATGGTTTGTTGATGGAAATGTCGAGAGGTTACAACTGGCTGGTAAGACCTCCAGGAATTACAGCTAGATGAGTCTTCA